AGTGGGATCACACATTTGTCCTTTGGTGCCTAACTTTTATCACTTAGCATAACATATTCAAGATTCATCCTTGTTTTTGTTTGTTTGGTTTTTGGGTTTTCGTTTGTTTGTTTGTTTGTTTTGAGACAGGTTTTCTCTCTGTGTAATCCTGGCTGTCCTAGAACTCACTTTGTAGACCAGGCTGGCCTCTTCTGCCTGCCTCTGCCTCTTGAGTATTGAGATTAAAAGTATGCGCCCCCACCACCCTGCTCATCCATTGTGGAATATTACATTAACTAGGCAAAGATGTGTTACATTTGTTTATGCTGCAGATATTACTTTAACTGTGTAAAGGTGTGCTACATTTGTTTCTGCTGCATTTGTTTACTTAGTTAAAGATGTGTTACATTTGTTTATGCTGCAGATATTACTTTAACTGTGTAAAGGTGTGCTACATTTGTTTCTGCTGCATTTGTTTACTTAGTTAAAGATGTGTTACATTTGTTTCACCTTGCCTGCCTAAAGGCCCTGATTGGTCTAATAAAAAATTGAACAGTCAATAGCCAGGCAGGAGAGGGATAGGTGGTATTGGCAGGCCGAAAGAATAAATAGGAGAAATTTAGGCAAAAAAGAAGAAGAAAGAAAAGAATGAGGGAGAAAAAGAAGGATACACCCAGGGCCATAAACCAGGCAGCTGTCAGCCAGCCAGACACAAGAAGCAGTGAAGTATGACATTCAGAAGGAAGAAAGGTAAACAAAGGCCAAGGCAAAAGGTAGATAAAGAGAAACAAGTTAGTTTAAGTTAAACGAGCTAGCCAGAAATGAGCCTTAGCTAGGCTGAGCATTCACAACTAATACGGTCTCGGTGTCATGATTTGGGAACTGGTTGGTGGTCTAAAAGAAAGCCTGGTACACTCATTCATGATTTTACCGTATGTCAAATGCCCTTCATTTTTAAGATATGTCTATACCACATTTTATCACCTATCCTTCAGTGGACAATTGTGTGGTTTGTATCTTGGGAGGTTGTGAATAATGTTGCTCTGAGTATTTGTGTACAAACACCTACTTGGTTCCTTGGTCACAGTTACTTTAGGTATACATCTAGGAGTGGAATTACTAGATAATGTGATGGTTTCTCTCTGGTACCCCACAGTACTAAGAATTGAGCTTAAGGCCTCACAGACATACCAAGCAAGTGCTCTACTACTGAGCTATATCCCAGGCCTATTTGTTTGTTTATTTGTTTATTTGTTTGTTTGTTTGAGACAAGATCTCACTCTATGGTCCAGGCTGGCCTCGAACTGTTCCTTCTTCAGTTTCCCAATTTTGGGATTATAATCTGGGGTCACCAGTCCCAGAAGCCATGTTCAATTGTTTGAGACACAGTCACGGCATTTTTTACAGCAGCTGCATAATTTTATGTCCCCGAGTGAAGACACAAGAATTCCAATTTGTTGGGCTAAGAACGTGATTCAGTCGGTAGAGTGCTTACCTAGCATGCTTAAGCCAAGATTTAGGTCTCTGGCACTGCATAAATCAGAACTTTTGGTGCCCACCTATAATCAAAGCCAGAGAAGCAGGAATTCAAAGTCATCCTCACCTACATAGTGAATTCAAGGTCCATCCCAGCTTCATGAAACCCAGACTGAAAAAAAAAAAAGTCCGGTTTCTCCACATCCACACCACTGCTTACTATTTTTTAGTTTGCTCTCATTGTAGTTTGGTTTCCCTTAATGATCAGAGATGCCAAACATGTTTTCAAGTCCTTATCGGACAGTTTGCTTCAGAAAAGTTTATATTCGAGTCATTTGTCTATTTTTTCAGTCAAGTTTTGTTTCCTGTTATTGAGTTTTAGGGTATTTTTGCATATCGTCAACCCTTTATGACACACACAGTTTGCAAGTATTTCCCCCATTTCAAGCACAGCCTTTTCACTCTGTTGAGGGTATTCTCTGATGTTCTATCTCCATTTAAAGGAACTAACTCACTTGGATGGTGGTGGCACATGCCTTTAATTCCAGCACTCAGGAGGCAGAGGCAGGTGGATCTCTGTGAGTTTGAGGCCAGCCTGGACTACAGAATTAGTTCCAAGAAACCCAAGGCTACACAGAGAAACCCCATTTAAAAAAAAAAAAAAAAGGGAACTAACTCCTCATGACCATCCAAAGACTGAAATCCCCTGATTCATGTGTGTGATGGCTTCGATGAACTGTAGAATACCCTAGAAGTAAAAGCAAAGGAAAACCTGGCTGGTCACACCCAGTTCCTCTCTGCACTTGCCCGTTTGTAAGGAAAATACCAGGTTACACAACGAGAGCCTGGTCATAAGGGGAAGAGGGCTAGTGTTATGCGATCTTGTAAACAGGGGCTCTATGGAGTAGAGACGATCTGTTAGGACAGGGGCAACATTTGTGACATTTATTCTGTGCCAGGGACTGTCCTAAGCAACTCTAAACCACAAAATGGTCTATTACATCAACAACAGATATATTTGTTTGTTTGTTTGTTTTGTTTTGTTTGAAATAGGATTTCTCTGTGTAACAGCCCTGGCTGTCCTGGAACTCACTCTGTAGACCAGGCTGGCCCCGAACTCACAGAGATCAGCCTGCCTCTGCGTCCTAAGTACCGAGATTAAAGGAATGCGCCACCACCGCCCAGCTATATGTATTCTTTAAAAGAAATATTTTTAGAGCTAGGTGGTGGTGGTTCATATCCTTAATCCAGGCCCTTAGGAGGCAGAGGCAGGTAGATCTCTGTGAATTCGAGGGCCAGCCTGATCTACAGAGCTAGTTCCAGGACAGCCAGGCATAGAGAGACCCTGTCTCAAAATATCAAAACAAATCTTTCAAAAAATTAGACAAAATTTTACTGTGCAACCTTAGTTGGCCTGATACATACTGACATAGCCCAGAGTGGTCTTGGAGTTGTAGCGATTCTCCTGCCTCAGCCTCTCAAGTGCTAGAATTACACCTGGCCAGTATTTCCACTTACCAGAAATAGGCCCAGAGAGGCTCCACAGTGTGTCTGAAATCACAGACTAGAAGGCACAGAAAGGGGAACTGGTCCCAGGTCCCAGCAGCCTCTTTATTGACCACTCTGTGACACGGTACAAGCCTTGGTGTCTGGATGACTTGAATCTGAACACAAATGAGTAATAAGTACCTGAAAATAGTCCCTTCGTAATCTGAGGGACTCAAACTAAAAACAAGATTTGACTGCACATTCTGTGGCATCAGAGTTGGACAATACTGGCACAAGGTGGCTTCGGGGAAACAGAACCCAATGTGGAGTGGCCTCCTGGGACCCCAGTCCTCCCTGAGGATTTGCATGCAGTTAACTGTCCATGGGAGAGGAACAGACATCTTCAATGGTGAAGGACAGGTAAGGCGTCTATGCTCCAGTAAACAACGCGAATGAAACTCTGGGTCACACAGCAGAAAGAGACTCAAAAGTGGAAGTGGAGCCAGTTAAGAAGAGGAAGGAGGCTAGAGAGGGGTCAGCAGGAGCTGGGGGAGGGCAAGTGGGAGTAAAAGGGGTGGGGGGAATGTGGGAGCCCACAACTGACTCAATTTTCCAGTTCTAATCTGAAGTCTATTCTGAGTCAGTAGAGTTCAAGCTTGCTTGCTCCAGGACTGTGAGAAAGTCCTGATTAGTCCAAGGGAAGGAACATATTATCTAGCTAGATGCAGGCTGCTGATGCCAACCGGAAGTACATCAAGATAGAAAATGGAACTGCCTGCTCCTTGACGCAAGGCAGGATAGATAGTGGTTGAATGCCTGTGCTGTGCATTGTTCTACCTCTGTCCTTCAAAACTGTATATAAGGTGACTGTGAAATAAACTTGGGGCTGTCCGGCATTGACTGGCAATCCTCTCAACCCTGTTCTGTCTTCATTGTCCCCACAATCCACACGCCTCCACCCAGAGAGATGCCCAGTCGACTGGTCAGGAGGCTCCGACAGGGGAATATGTTCCAAGTACATTACACGTGTAAGAAAATGTCAATAGTGAGCATGTTATTGTTTAATATAGGCTAATAAGAAAGTATTAGGTAGGAGTGGAGTGGTGCACACCTTAAATCCTCCAGGACAGCCAAGGTGAGACCATGCATCCAAACAAAACAAGCAACAAAATCCTTCATAGAGCTATGTATGGGTGAGTGTACGGACTGTTGCAGCCACTTCAGAAGCGAGTTGGCAGCTCTTCGTCAAACTAGATATGGGATGACTCTGTAACACTGCTTCTGGGTATACAGCCCAGAGAGATTCTTACGGTGTTTCCAAGAGGTTCTAAAGTTCTTCAAGCTGACAAGTGAACCCATTCTCACGACTAGCCTGTCTCTCTCTCTCTCTCTCTCTCTCTCTCTCTCTCTCTCTTTCTTTTTTGAGACAGGGTTTCTCTGTGTAGCTTTGGAACCTGCCTCAGAACTTGCTCTGGAGATCAGGCTGGCCTTGAACTCATAGAAGTCCACCTGCCTCTGCCTCCCGAGTGCTAGGATTAAAGGCATGGGATTGAATGTTGCTCTGGCTCCTGGGGTTCCTAGAAGCATATGTCTGTGTCTATCTCCCCATATCCAAAGTGCCTGACTATAGGTACCTAAGTCTGGGAAGAGTCCCCATGGGGTTTTAGGCCGTATAAACTGCACAAAAGACCTCCAACACCAGGGTGGAGACCTGTACCAGCTCCTGCCCCAGCACCCACAAGATGCCTAGAAGAGGTAGCTTGGGGTACAGTGACATGGCGGAGGAGGGATGAGAGGAAGCCTGTGCTTATTGAGACTTCTAGCTTTGAATATTAATGACTCTGCCACTTACTTGCTCTCATACAGTGACTGAACTCCTCTGAGCCTCTTTTTTCCTGCGGTCGTGGTGCATACCTTTGATCCCAGCGCTCCGGAGGCAGAGGCAGGCAGATTTTCGAGGCCAGCCTGGGCTACAGAGTGAGTTCCAGGCCAGGCTCCAAAGCTACACAGAGAAACCCTGTCTCGAAAAACCGAAAAGAAAAAAAAAAAAGACCCAATTTAAAAACAAAAATGTTTATTAAGTAAACATGGATACATGGTACATTGGATATTGCAAAACAATGACGAGGAGGATATGCAGATGAATGGAATTCAGAATATGCTGTATTGGCACAGAAACACAGAAGAGGTTGTTTGCTGAAGATACCAGACACCCATCTGAATGAGCTTAAAGGAAGAAAGGGAATCCTGCCCCCAAAAACCTCCCAGGACTCAAGGGCAAGCATGCAGGAGTGTCCTCTGGCCCTGGAGGCTGCGTATTCTATCTCTCCAGGCTCCAGTGCAGTGCTTCTCAACCTGTGGGTCCAGAGCACTTTGGCAAACTTCTTTCTCCAAAAATATTTACATTACATTATGATGCATAAACGTAGCAAAATTACAGTTATAAAGTAGCAACGAAAATAACTTTATGGTTGAGGGTCACCACAGCATGAGGTTCGTACTCAGGGGCTGCGGCATTAGGAAGGCTGAGACCCAGTGCTCGTGGTTTCTCTCTGGCCTCTGCTTTGCCTAACACATCTGCTTTCTTTGGAAACCCATCCGTCTACCCAGGTGGCTGCCCAATCCACTCACTTTACACAGACACGGTCACAGCTCCCGAGTTTCAATGACTTCAGTAAGTGGCTTGCAAAGCCCCCAACAGCACCCCGAATCCAGATGTCCAACTCCACCCCTTCTTTTCCTATCATAGGAATGCGGGGAGGATCAGGGATGAGTAAACAAGAGTCAGCTGAGCACGCGCTTGCTCCTAACAGGCCGGCGAGGTAGGTTGTACCTCCCAGCTAATAACACTGAGAGGTAGAAAACTGAATTCCCACTTCCTAGACAGCACCTAGCACAGGTGAGACTTGAACCTGAGTTTGTAAGAGGCCAAAGTTCAAGTGTGCCACTTTAGTTACCTAGTTACTGTCAGCTCGGGACAGCCCATAGCCATCACCCCAAACCCAGTCAGGTTACCGGCCGATGCTTGTCTGGCAGACAGGAATCAACTGGTCCAACGTCAAGGGGACACTAGCTGGAAGAAAGAACATTTTCTTTTTTAAGGTGCACAAGGCTCGGGAAACCAAGGAAAGTTCCCCAGAGTTCTGAGTCTGAGGTTTCTAGCCACTGCTCAGAGGGCAGGATTGGACCTCGATTGAATGTAATAGCTTGTGTATCTTGAATATAAGATACCCTGCATCTCCATGGGGTCATGTTTGTCTTGCTTTGTTGTATTGATTTTGTACATTTATTTATGGGGGGGAGAGGCGGGACATGTGTGTGCCACAACATGCGTGAAGAGGTCAAAGGACAACTTGCAGGAGTCTGTTCTCTTTCCACCACGTGGGTTCTGGGATCGAACTCTGATCATCCGTGTTAGCAGCAACTGCCTTTACCTGATCTCGATGGCTCAGGACTGTGTTCTGTATGCTTATTCTCACTAACAGTGTTGCTTTGGGAGACTGTGGAACCTTTAGGAGGTAGGAACTGGCTATAGAAGTAGGTGGCTGGGGGCTGGCTTCTGACAGTTGTACTCCATCCCCTGTTTAAAGTGCAGTCTTGTGCCGGGCGGTGGTGGCGCACGCCTTTAATCCCAGCACTCGGGAGGCAGAGCCAGGTGGATCTCTGTGAGTTCAAGGCCAGCCTGGTCTCCAAAAAGAGTTCCAGGAAAGGCACAAAGCTACACAGAGAAACCCTGTCTTGAAAAAAAAAAAAAAAAAGTGCAGTCTTGTTTCCGGGCTCACTGGCACATGAACACCTCAGCCTCCTCCTGTTCCTGCCTCCATAGTCCGAGCTGCCCCACCATGCCTTCGTTACCATGATGGACAGAAGTCTTCAGAAACTGTGAGCCAAATAAATCTCTCCTTCTTTGAATTGTTTCTGACAGGGAGGCTGGGCACAGTGAGTGAAATGTGATTAACACACTGGTCAAAAAATCACCAGCAGGTATCCAGAGGTCACCAAAAGAAGTTGCTGCCTGCCGGAAGTTGAAACTGTGGTGTCCTGAGGGAACCATCTCTTCCAGTCTCTCAGGTCTGAGCAGAAACTTAGCTGCCTCAGGAAATAAGCTCTCATCCTAGCTTCCAGTCAGCTTTTGTATTATCTCCTCTGGTTACATTTAAAACAAGTTACTGGGTCAGTCAGAGGCTTCCACCAAACCACTTCCTCTAAGAACTGTCACAAAGACCTTGTATCTGTGGGTGGAGAAGGGAGGGTACCATCCTAAACCCAACGGTTCCCTGCAAACATCTTCCATAGGACGGGTGAAGAGTCCTATCTCCACAACCCCTTCCTCTGCCTGTAGCCCCCAGAAGTCACTGCCCAATCTTAAGGCTGCAGCCCCAGTTAGATGAACTAGGTGCCTCAGAGTCTACCCCCAAGGTTTGGCCCTAGCTGGAGTGTGACCATCAGCCACAGTTGCTAGTATTAACCCAGAGATGGATGAAAAGAAACATTCAAGTTCGGTGTTTTCCAACAAGCGGCCAGTCCCGCCACCCCGTCTCAGTGAGAAAGTAACTCCCACACTTTACAGTCCACCAGGGTCCCAGGAGGGGTTGGCCACAAACACAAACCTCTCCCAGCTCAGTCTGTGAGGTCCACAGAAGAGGAGACTCTGGGTCTGACAGAGATTACTTTTTCAGTAACGTGATAGGAGTCTGATCAGCCGGCACCATCACCTCAGTTCCGGTGTCAGTAGTGGCCCTGGAGCACTTCCGGCTACCGCGCATGCTGTAAAACTTTTCGCTGAGATGCTTCCGGAACTTCTTGGTAAGAAAGCAATAGATGACGGGGTCTAAGACACAGTTGGTGCTGAGGAGGCAGAGGGTGATCTGATGGGCATCATTAATAGCCTGGTGGAAGCTGGTCTGATAGCCCAACTCGGCTAGGGTCCAGGGCAGCTGGACCATGTGATGGGGCACAAAGCAGATGATAAATACCGCCAAGACCGTGCAGACCATCCACAGCGCCCGGCGCTTCACTTCGGCTTTGCGCTGTTGCCGCACTGGCTGCGTGAGCAGCGTGTGGATGATGACCAGGTTGCAGTAGAAGATAAGAAGGAAGACGAGGAAGAAACAGAATGCGATGAAGACGTGAACAACAAGGATCGGCACACTGTGCGGCTCATAATGCTCAAAGCAACGGGTGACATTGCCTGAGCCATCCTTTTTGCGTACTATGTTGGTGGAGTCTGTGGCCAGGAAGTAGGACGCAGTAGCCACGATGGATATCCAGATGACCAGGGACAAAGAGATGCCACGCTTGCGGGTAGTGGCCTGAGCAGTCTTGATGGGATAGGCCACTGCCTGGTAGCGGTTATAAGTGATGACACCCAGGAAGGCCACACTACAATAGGTATTGATGAAGAAGAGGCAGCCAGCCAGGTTGCACAGGAATTTGGGTAGGATCCAGTTGCCCTCGTTGTAATAGTAGACAATCCACAGTGGGAGGGTGATCAAGAAGAGCAGGTCCGCGATGGTGAGGTTCACCATGAAGATCTTTATCTCATTCAGTTTCTTGGAAGGGTACAGGCGGGCAAAGACCCATAGCACATAGCTATTGGCAACCACCCCCAGTATAAAGATGATGCTGTAAACAGTCGGAAAGAGGGTGTATCGAAACTCAGAATCCACGCGAGAGGATTCATTTTGCTCCATTGCTCTGGGCTGGAAGGGTCACCTGATCCTAGGGTGCTGTATGTGCCTAGAAGAACACGCAAAGATTCTGGTTAATAAAGAACCAGTGAGGGACTCCCTTACCACGTCAATTCCAAGGCTCCTTGCTACAGTTTGAATGTTGGAGTCCTCTCTAGAATTCATGTTGAAATTTAATCCCTGGGATTAAGAGCGAGGCAGAGCCGGGCGGTGGTGGCGCACGCCTTTAATCCCAGCACTCGGGAGGCAGAGGCAGGTGGATCTCTGTGAGTTCGAGGCCAGCCTGGTCTACCAAGTGAGTTCCAGGAAAGGCGCAAAGCTACACAGAGAAACCCTGTCTTGAAAAAAAAGAAAAAAAAAAAAAAAAAAAAGAGCGAGGCAGAGCCTGCATAGATAAGGTTAGCAGCCTGGGAGATGATTCAGTGGATACAGGCACCTGACGCCAAATCTGGTGGCCTGATTGGATGCCCGGGACCTACGTGGAAGAAGCAGAGAACTGAGTTGTACTAGTCACCTGACCTCTCTGTGTGTGCCTCTGCGTGTGTGGTGTATGTATGTGCTGTAACTCCAGTTCCAGGGGATCGGATGCCCTCTTTGGACCTGTGCCAGGCACACACGTGGTGCACAGACATGCAGACAAGCACTCACATGCATAAAATAAATAAAATAAAAAAGATTTTTAAAAAGTTCATATTGCAAAAACTTTTAGGACAGGCATTGTGGTACACACCTGTAATGGAAGTCACTTGGCAGGGAGAGGCAGGAAGATTACTGTGGTTTTAAAGTCATTCTGGTCTATGAAAGGAGTTCTAGGACACCTTAAGCTATATAATGAGAATCTGTCTCAAAATTTTTTTTAGCCATTCAACAAATGCAGGCCTATAGCACAGTGGTCCCTTGCTTGGCCTGCATGTGACCAAGGGTTGGACCTCCAGCCTACCCTCCTACTCCATTCAAAACCCAACAAATCAAAACTATAAACATCCTTCAAAATGACTGGCCAGTGCCTATTCAAAGTGTGAATGTCACAAAAGACAAGGAAAGACTGAGGAACTGTCAGAGATTATAGGAGACTAAACATTCATATAGCCAGGCATGGTAACTCACATATGTCATCCCAGCACTTGGGAGGCTGAGGCAAGAGGATTAAGTGAATATCAGGCCAGCCTGGGCTACATAGTGAGTTTAGCGAGTTGAAGACTAGCCTGGGCTACAGCATGAATCTCTCTCTCTCTCTCTCTCTCTCTCTCTCTCTCTCTCTCTCTCTCTCACACACACACACACACACACACACACACACACACACACACACACACACACACACACGCAGAGAGAGAGACAGAGAGAGAGAAACTAAATGCAACGTAGAATCCTGGATTGTATCTTGGAACAGAGTAAATGTTTACTAGAGGAAACAAGTCTGATAAATTTCAAATAACACCCATAATTTAGTTACTAATGTTGCCTCAACATGAACTTCCTGGGGCTGGGAGTGGAGCTCTGTGAGGGAACGCTTGCTCTGATATGTTAGAACTCAGTTCCACCTCTAGAACTGGGGCAAAAAAAATCGGTTCTCTGTTTTGACAACTGTATTCGAGGTCTGTTATATTAGGGAAGGCTTGGGGAAAGCATGGACTTTATTCATACTATTTTACAACTTCACTAAAGAAAAGTCCTGAAGTTAGCGAGGTGGCTGTAAGTGGCACAGTATGTAATTCTAGCATTTGGGAGGCTGAGGCAGGAGGATCAGGAGTTTGAGGTCATCCTCAGCTACACAGTGAATTTGAGGTCAGCCTGGGCTGCATTAGATCCTGTCTCAACACTGCTCCCTCCAAAAAGTATCCTGAAGTTATTTCAAAACAAAAATCTAGGTACCTTAAAGACGAAAGCTAAAGCCAAGCACAGTGGCACACGCCTTAACTCTTAGCACTGGGGAGGCAGATCTCTGAAATGAAGGCCAGCCAGGGCTACACAGCGAGATTCTGCCTCCAAAAAGAAAAAAATTAAAACTATTCATCATCCCACTCCTCAAATTCTACTCAGTAGTTTCCCCCAGTATCCACTCTCCTTGGAGACCTTGCCTCTCCCTTTATCTAATAAAACAGGAGTACAGAGTGGATATGACTTAGCCAAGGTCACACCTCTATTACAAGATGGAGTTGGGGGTACCGCTTCTGCAGATGACTTGAATTCGGTTCCCAACACCCATGCTGGGTGACCCACAAGTGCCTGTAACTCAGTCCAAGGGTAATGCACTCATATGCAGATAAACATATACACATACACTAAATATTTATAGAAAAAACGTGTGGTCAGGATCTCAAATCCATTTGTTTTCCCATCCATCCATCCATCAACAAATATCTCTGAGCACAGACTCACATCAGGCATACTGAAGAGCACAGCCAAGTAGCCTTGCCTTCAAGGAGCTTATGGTCTCCTGAGGGAGAACAGCTAAAGGAATTAGACAGACTGGCTGCCACACAACGAACAAAAGGAGCGCTTCTAGGGAGAACAAAAAGGGATCTGGGGAAACAGGTGGCACTTTGTGAGAGCCTGGAGGATGAAGGAGGGTGATACAAACATTCCAAGCAGAGGATGTGCACGGTGCCAGGACTGAAGGAAGCCACCACATGTCCCTTGCCTTGACTTCCAGTTCTCCAGAGGCCACTCTGCTTGCACCCTGGGCCACCTTCCCACCAGTCTCCAGCTAGAGTGACTTCTCTGGAAGGACTTCAGACCTATCTAGACCTCACAGTTCCAAAATACTCAACCTGCTGCCTTGAACTCTCTCTCTCTCCCTCTCTCTCTCTCTCTCTCTCTCTCTCTCTGTCTCTCCATCCTCCTTCTGAATGCTGGTGGAACCCACGGCCTAGGCAAGGGTTCTACCATGAAGCTACATATTCTGGTTAGTCCCTCCTCCCCCAACTTGACACAATCTAGAGTCATCTGAGAGGAGATCTTTCATTCAGAAATTACCTAGATCAGATTGGCCTGTGGAGTATGTCCATGGGAGATTGTCTCAATTGTTCATTGATGTAGAAAGGCCCAGCACACTGTGAGCGATACCATCCCCTAGGCAGACGATCCTGAACCCTATAAAAAGCCAGCAAGTCGCATCCTCTGTGGTTCCTGCTGTCCTTCTTTGGCTGTGAAGTGAGTTCCTTGGTTGGAGGTAACACTGTGTGGTACAGCTAACTGCTCTCTGCCTTCAGTTCCCTGCCGTGACTTTCTCCAATGACAGACTAAGTAAGCCAAGCAAATCCACTCTTCTTCCACATTGTTTTTGGTCAGAATTTTTGTTTGGTTGGTTGGTTTGGTTTGGTTTTTTTCCAGACAGGGTTTCTCTGTGTAGCCCTGACTCTCCTGGAACTCACTCTGTAGACCAGGCTGATCTCAGACTCAGAGATCCTCCTGCCTCTACCTTCCCAGTGCTGGGATAAAAGGTGTGCGCCACCACAGCCTGGCTTGGTGGGAATGTTTACCAAAGCATCAGAAAGGAAACAAGAACAACCCCATCCCCCATTCCTTTCACTTGGCCAGTTTCAACTCACAATTCAGACCTCATGTGAATTTCAGTTCTTCATGGAGGCTGAGCCACCTGTGAGAACGAAAAGCTGTCTCTTCAACATTTATTCCCAGGAACAAAAACTACCGCATAGGAATGGGTGAGAAACTTTGTTAATGACATCATCCCTTCAGGGGCCTTCCAAAGGGAAAACACTTGAAAGAGACTAAATACATTTAAAGAAACTATAGGATGTCATTGAAATTTTGTTGAGAACATTTTTTGTCCTTGCTCCATTTAGCGTGATAGTAATTTATATGTCATATATGTGGGTCTCAGAATTCCTGATAAATCACAACAATTTCTCTAACATTTTAAAAAAAATCATCCTGAGTCACACTATAAATTATTCTGCTAATGTGAGAATATTTTTGTTGATTTTGTTTTGTTTTGTTTTTCAAGTCAGGTTTTGTTTTTCAAAGTCAAGTTTTCTTTGTGTAGCCTTAGCTATCCATGGAACAGGGGCCTTGAACTCATAGAGATCTACCTGCCTCTGACTCCTGGGATTAAAGGCATGTGCCACCATGCCCAAGCTGGCCTTGAACAGGGTCAAGTGAGTCTCTTGCCTCAGTTTCCAGAACAGATGGGACTGCAGACACAAGTCATCCTATCTGGCAGAGGACATATTTTATGCTGCTTCCCCAGAAACAAATTTGCCAGCTTCTGCTCTCCAGGGGTGTTTCCCATTCCTAAAAGCAGTCACACCATAGCAATTCACTAAGGGTGGACTGTGGGAACAAGGAGTCAAGGATGAGATCATGTAGCCAGGATTTTTATATTAACACTAAAACATCGCTTTTCTTTTTGTTGTTCTTATTGCTATTGTTTTGAGAGATGTCTCACACCATAGCTCTTGCTAGGCTCAAATTCACTAAATAGCCCAAGCTGGCTGGGCAATGGTGGCACATGCCTTTAACCCCAGCACTCAGGAGGCAAAGGCAGGTGGATCTCTGTAAGTCTGAGGCCAGCCTGGTCTATAGAGTGAGTTTCAGGACAACTAAAGCTACACTGAGAAACCCTGTCTTGAAAAAAAAAAATAGTCAGACTGGCCTTGAACTCATGACATTCTGTGGAATATTCCTTTATACTGTGTGAATATATATCACTGTGATTGGCTTAATAAAGAAGCTGACTGGCCAATAGCTGGACAGGTAGAGGTTAAGCTGAACTGACAGACAAAAAGAGATCTTGAAAAAAAGGAGGAGGAGTCTCAGGAGTCTTGAGGAGATGCAGAGGAAGCTGGAGATGAATTTGCCATAGTGAAAAAAGGTACCAAGCCACATGGCAGAGCAAATATAAGAAATATGGGTTAATTTAAAATGTAAGAATTAGCTAGTAACAAGCCTGAGCTATTGGTGAAGCATTTATAATTAATAATAAGTCTCTGTGTGGTTATTTGGAACTGGCTGGTGGGACAGATAAGTCTGCCTACAACACTCTTCATGCCTCAGCCTCTCAGGTGATGAGACTACATGTGTGAG